TAGACCTCTTTATGCCCTGCTATCATCTGATAGACTTCTATAGGTATTTTTGCTGCTGGATCCATTATATGTGCATGCTTGTCCATTCCTTTACTGAATATCACTTCCGGTGGACTATTATTCACATGTGTTACTATTATTTTATGACCATACATATTGTATATATTTCGATATTCATCGATTCTTTTGCCTCCACCTACCGCATAGTAATGTTGGGTGTCAAAGCATATTCCAATCCTTTTCTTAGATTTTTCTTTGTTTCTAAACCTTAACTGTTGGTCTATACTATTCACTATATCCATGAGGTCTGGTATTGTTGCACCATAGCAATTATTACTTGCTAAGTTTTCTAATAATATACCTATTTCTAATTGTTGTTAAACTAGTTGTTTTAATATTTCATTGATATTATCGATCATGTCTGACCGATTCTTATCTGCAGTTGTTTCAATATGTATTACGGCCTATTTTATTCCTATTTTATCAGCACGATATATTTCCTCTAATATTCTATTTATTTTCCAATGCCTTTTTCCATTATTCCATAATGGATCATTAAGGTATAATCCCATTGATGTATGTAATATCATTTTTAGTCCAATTTTTCTATTTCCTTGTATAATATTATCATCTTCTTGATAATTTGGTTTACTATTTTGTACCATCATGTATTTTTTTATCTGTTCATTTTTGTATGTACCTTTAGGTTCTTTATATTCTAAGAATATTTGTAATAAGTTGGAGTCAGTTGCTAGAGCTGTTCTGACTATATCTACCCAATTTCCATTGCATGTAATGCCTATTAATTTATTTCTTTGTTGGTTTCTTTCAACTTGTTTTTTAAGGAGTATTTCTTGTTCTTTTAAAGAATATGGTATTAATTCTTTAAGTATTTTAATATTTTTGAATTTCTGATATTCAATATCAGTCCATTTTACTTTTTCTTCTGCATTTTTCGACTGTTTGTCATTTTGCTTAGCCTTATTATTGGTCATTAAGTGAAGTGTAGGTGAACTTTGTTCATTAGTTGGTGTGCTATCAGTTATATTAGCTTGGTTAGCGGGTGTATGGATTCTTTGATTACCAAACATGTTGGGTGCCATCGAGATGTTTTTTCTCACTTTTAAGGGGGTGTCTCGTTTGGAGAGGTATTTAGATAAATATAAGGGGGTTGGTTTCTCAAGGTTAAGTGAGCAGGTTCATCACGAGCTAGGTTGTTACACCTATAAGCTGTGTCAGATCCCATTTCTTGGTAACTAATAGGCTTGTTATTGATTAAGGCTATCTTATTTTGTCTATCTTTAGTAATATGTAATCTTGCTTGATCTACTTCAGATAAGAGAAGGTAAGGTTGTTCTCCTTTGATAATAGTTACTTTGATTTG